CTGTGCCTTGCTACAGCCGATACGTGCACGAGTTAGCTGCACGGCATACACAGAAATTTGACATGTTTCGTTGGATGAATTCTGCAGCAGTTTTAATTCCTACGCGCTGTACTTGTAACGTACCTTTGAAAAACCGTGCTGCTGCCGATCATTTTATTTCCATGGATATAACTTATGACCTGAAAGGATCTCTTGTGTACAGCTTCCATTTTGCAACATGAATCTTCGTGAGCGATCTATACTTCGTGCTGTAAGTACTGTAAAATAAAGAGAAACTGCTACAACACGCCTGGATAACGGCCGAAGAAGGACGATGAACTTTATAAATAAACGTCGATGTTTTGAAAGACGCCCGTTGAATCCTTGTCGATGAAACTGTCCCTGCAATTCTCCGTGAGTACCTATCCTACCTATATGTCTATATACACGAATTCTCCTCTTATCATAATTAAAGAAACGTTTTGAATAAACAAAAGTATTATTAAATTTAAAAAAAGAACATTACACTGATCTGCTAAAAATGCGATATTCTTTCGCACTTTTTTCTTAATTGAAATATATTATAATTTTATCTTTCATATATATGAATTTGCGAATGACGTCTGTATGTTTTTATGACGCATGATTTTATGAATGACGTCTTAATTGTTATCCGAGAGCTACTACAAAAAAGATATTTATCGCGAATGATACGATACGCGATATGAAAGGATTTCGTGAAGAAACGTCGTTTCAGTCACCGTTCAATTTTATTTCCTATTTTTCTCATTCCATACTTCAACATTTCAAGTTTATAATAACTCATATTGAAACATACGGCGTTACGCACTGCTATAAACTTACGAGCGGCGAAATATAATTATGACAACGTCCTTGACAAATCCGCAGTGTATTTAACTAAAATCTAATAGGGTAGATGAATATAATTATTGTGCATTTTGTTCTGTTAGCGCTAAACCTATTCGCGTCTTTTTATGCCGTACTCGGCATATATCACTTTATCATTATTAATTATTTATTATAATTAATATATATCAATCTTTGACAGTATTAATATAATTCCCAGCTATTAATATCAATTTTATTTTGAACGGATCATATATTTATGTGCAACGAACGGATCAAGAAACGATCTTGATACAGTAGAAATACGCGACATTCTTGAATTTCTACGCGTTTTAAGAAGACACACACATAAATATATCTATATATTTATAATTTATACATTACACTTTAGAGCAAGCGAAAAGTATTTTACGGGTAAATTCTTCAAGAAATTTTGCATTGACTTTCTTTTTAAATCTCTCCCGACTGATTAGTCAGACTTTTTCCAGTCGCAAACTCGTAATTTTTCTTTCGGCTTTAATACTTACATTATTCTCAGCCGTATATCCTCCCTGATCGTTTTTTATTCAGTCTCACGAGATTAAAAATTTTGGTCTCTCTACGTACGACTACTTTCACGCGACATTATATATTTATGATAAATTCTATAATATATAATATACGAAAGAGAGAGAGAGACAGAGAGAGGGATGTACATCTCTCGTATATTATATCTCGTATTTCTATTCGCGATATATTACGTTAAGAACTTATCGTAAATGGAACTTGGCACATAATCTACAATTCGATGTGCGAATTTGTTCCGTTCTAAAACGGTATAAAAAGACGGCCGTCGATAAAAAGATGTCACATTATTAGAAAGACGTTGAGAAATTAATGTTATATCGTATATAAACAGATATTTTCGCAAGCAAAATAGATTCTTCCCATTTAAAACCGCAAACGATCAATGTATTGTGCTTTGCTTTATGATTAATATCATTTAATTGCCAGATAATTATTTCGTGGAATCCAACGACGATCTTTTCTCTTCCTGGAAATATTTCCGATCTCTTATATCTATGCGCACGCGTATGTATATGGCGACTATAAGCGAAAAAGATCGATTGCACGGTGTTTTAATTGCTATGACAATTTTTATTCAGACATCATAAGATATAAACAGACTTCGGATTTTTAAACATTAGTGGTTCTGGACCGTGGCGCTCCATTTACTTTTTTTTTTTTTTTTTTTTTTTTTTTTGGTTTTTGTATTTCTTCGTCTTCCTGAGAGAACGAAGAACAGACGGCGATCTATATTATTTTACAGAGCGTAAAAAATTCTGCCGCTACTAGTGGTCATGTTTACGGACCCGTAGTCTCTGATTTTTACATTTACTGCGCTTCGGTATCGTCTGACTTCTAATTTGGCATATACATATGTATATATGTGTACATGTACTATATATATATATATATATATATATATATATATCGTAAAATAACGCTTTCACTTAAGTATGGAGACTAAATAAAAGAAGGGAAGGACACTTAAGTGAAATTAATATATAGAGCATCAAAATATGGGAAATATGTAACGCAATCGGTGAGGGAATACTAAAGATGATGGATGAGAGAAACAAACCCTCGACCGTTCGTAAGAGCAACGAATCAGTCGTCGGTGCAAGCGAGAGCTTTTTGGCTTATAGTGTTCAGACGCAACGCGCATCGTACAAAATAATTGACGTAAAAAGAAACGGGAAAACGTTTAAGATTGGGAAAATATAGATCGATACGGTATTTGGGCTGTGCGTAGGAGAATTCGCGAAGAAAAGGTACGCGAGAGAGAGTGGAATTTCGCAATTGGTCGTAGACAAGCCAAGAGGCTTTCGCGAAGAACGTGGTTCTGAAAAGTATTCCAAACTAGTAAGTGTCAATAGTAAACCGATTTATATCAATCGCCCCGATCGTATGTTCGCTCGCGATCGGCGAAAATTCGAGATCTCCGTGATGTCTCTTCGACTAATTATCAGAGATTCTAATTGGTTCTAGACATGTTCTCTTCACATGTTGCGTTTATCTTTCTTTTCCTTTGTTTTTACAACCTGTGACACTGTGCGTACAAACAGGAAAAATCGAAGCTTTTACGCGACAAATCTCCAGAACCACGCCGATTGACAAGTACTTATAAAATTTACGAGAGCTTAAAAATTTGTCAACGACTATATAAGTTAACATTTACGTAGTTATAGTTTAGTATCTATGCACACCCCCGCGTAATTTCCCAATATCTCGTACACATACATACGTTTCTGCGTACTCCAAAGTCACTCGAATGACACACATCGATAACGCGGTTTCTACATATATTGCGATCGGGTTTAAAAATCTGAGATTGTATTGTTGCTGCGGCTGCGTTACTCGGCTTTTTATTGGCTGCGTTCTTTGCGAGTGAGCTCTTTGTGCGTGAATGGGGACTCGCGCAATTTCCGAACGATTTACTTTCGATTAATTTTCACTTGCATTCTGTCACAATTTTTATTTCATTTCTAATTGTATAAATATTAAATTACGATAATATTACATTTAATATATGCATCCGATTATATTATACATATTTTCAATTATATTGAAATCGATCAATTTAAAGTCGTTTTATGATTTTGATTTCGATTTCTCATTTTCAATATTACAGATCTTTCTTCCACAAGATTAGCAAATTTCAGTAATTGTTATTAATTTTTTACAATACAATAGGGCATCGATAATCGAATGTGCCGATCAATTAAAAATTTCGCTTAATTCTCGCCGATAATTGAAAAAAAAAAACCGTAAATTTTTCGTGAAAGACGCGTGTTCCCCGCGGGAGATTATTAGACTGTCGGGAATATCTATAAAGTAGCTCTTTCTCTCTCTTTATAAGGCTCTTTGTATCATTGAGCATGCACTTGAGTGGGTGTAATCGTAAGTTGAGAGAGAGAGAGAGAGGCAGAGAGAGAGAGAGATTCGACGACCGGTAATTCGCGATCTAGATTTTTGCGTTTTCTACCGTTTCGTCACGTATCCTACTATTTTGACGTAGTAAAAACCATGTATCGAGAGTCTCACCGCGTCGTTCCTTCATAAGAGAAGGTTCACATACGTCTTGTCTACCATCCACACTCTTATATCCTTACTCTTGTTTGTGTGTAGATTGCCATATATATATATATATATATATATATATATATAATCTCGAATTTCTCGCAGCGCTAGTTTATCGGCCATTCATCCTCACGCATCTCAGCGGAAATATACGCGCGCAAACGGTGTTATGTACACAATTACAAATACGAATAATAATATCTGTATCGTCACAACATATCGCGTCAGTAGTGTACAACACATTCGACTAGCACAGCTCTCTCTCCTCGCGCAATAATAATTCGCAATAATAGTCGTTTACTTTGTCTAAGTTGATAAAAGTCTTTCTCTGGTCCGAAAGAAGTTATAGATACTTAGGCACTTGTTATCTCGTCTAGAATCCATATATACGTACGAATCATGAGTTGTAATTATCGTGCTAGTAACCGGCAATTATCAGAACAAGGGCAACGAGACTAATTAATAATGAGAGCAATAAGAGTGATTAGATCAACCGATGTGCCTCTCGCGTGTAATATGGTTCGTACTTTCCACCCTCCTTTAATCCTCTATGACTTTAATTTTATTTTAGCGAATCACAATTTGCTCGTTGTGTAGAAAAAAATTTATCCAATGAGAAATTATGATGAGTGGATAGAAAGTGACCACGTCAAGTTTTACGTTTACTCTTACGAAGTAATGGTAAATGTTTGATAAAATGCCATAAAGGATTAACAGATGACGAGCCCTGTAAAAGAGGGTTTTAGATTGCTAGAACAAAGTAGACGAATTAAAATGTTTAGAATTATCTCTGTGAAATAACATTTTTAATTAGGATAAATTGTAAATTCGGGATTTTTTTTCTTTATGCAAGTATTTTATTTTAATGTATCTTTTGAAATCAATTTTTTTTTTTTTTTTTTTTTTTTTTTTAATTTTGCGATTAACTGCTTGCAATTTTCTCTTTTTTATAAAAATTAAAATAAATATCAATTTTCAAGCTAATTATTAAAGTCGAAAATGAAATTGTTATAGTTTTACAAAATAAAAATTCTTATATTTTATTTTAATTCGTCTATTTTTTTCAATGTGAAGTACACGCGCGCGGCATTCGTCGTGTCGTCCTTGGTCAGGACAAATCGAACCAAAAACGGAGATTAACGTTAAACGGGATCAATGGTAAATCTCTAAAGGACTGTTTCTAGAAGTAAACTCAATTCCATCGAGGGAGCCCGGGTCCTCCCGAGATGCTTCGTCAACTTTAGTCTCGCGACCGTTCGACGTCGAAAGGACGAAGCTCCGTGCCGCAACGATTCGTCTCGATCGTCTCGATCGTCTTGATCGTCTTGATCTGTCGCGTGTCGCGGCGAAAATATATATTCTAAGAATTTATTATATACTTCTGTGCGCGCCTAAAAACGCGCGATCGAGCGTGACTTGATCCGCTCGATCGAAACTCGCACAAATCTCGATAGAAATACCGAGCCAAGTTAGGAATCAAGGCGATCCAAAATGTGTCGGATAAAACACTCACGCTCGGCTAGAAAATACTCGCTCGAACGAAAATACATGGTTCATTGGTGCCCGAGTGTATCGCAGGATGAACATCTTGTGAACGTCTCGAGCTGCTACATCTTTTCCCCGTTTTTCCCCCTCTTTTCCTTTTAGACTAATTGCAAGCCAACTTTTTGTTCCTCGAGTAGCATCTCTCGATCCGCATCTAAATATAGCTATAAATATTCAGAACAGTTCAAAGTGTCCTCTTCGGGACAACAACAATTACGACGATATCGAACCGTGCGCGGTTTAAATCCATCCAACTCGCGCGATCTCGATTCGGATGATTCCGCTGGTGACTTCGACGTTACTTCATCGTAACCGACGATCTCGATCCTTCGACAACTACTCCCGTTCGTAGGGAGTAGGAATTTTCGGGTTACGTGGACGACGTTTGCGTCGCGGAGAGCAAATTTTCGTCCTGCTAGGACGGCGGTTGTCGCTGTTGTTGCTGTTGCTTCCGACTGCTGCCGCGATGACGGTTGCCGGAGGGCTGTAGCTGGCGATATACGGGCTGGCTCGGCGGCTGCTCCTGCAACGGCTGATAACCGATACCGGTGATCGGATGCTGTTGCTGCTGCTGCTGTTGATGCTCCTGCTCCTGTTGTTGGCTACTGCTCCACGGCTGCTGTTCCGCCACGTTCTGCTGTAATTGATAAGACAAGGGCTGGCCGCGTCGTTCCTGTAATAACAGCTGATGCGCCGCCCGGTCCATTTCTTCGCGCGTCATGTCCAACGCCTCTTGCATCTCGCGCGATGTGTACCGCACAAAGTCCGGGTCGCAGTACTTGCCTAGACCTTGTTCCACTAGAACCTGAAAAATGTACAATGACGAACATTATTAGAGATTGAAATAGATAGCGAGAAACTATTAATACACACAGGCAATATTCGTATAATTTGACTTTATGTTACAATTAATTCCAACACTAATTATATCGTTAATAAGTTAGTTTAATTGATATCTATATTCCACTGGAGGATAAGTTGAGATTTGCTAAAATAAAAAATTAAGGAAATAATTTAGATTTGACAAGGACGCTTAAATTCAACAGGCCCGGTCCTCGATAATCTTTTTCATTTATTAATTTTTCGTTTTATAATATTTTTTTAAACTCACCCGACCGACGAGGCTCTCCGCGCTCCCGATGACCTCAAAGTTGGGCTTCCGGTCCGCGGGACTGCCGGGCATGCTGTGGGACAGGCGCTCTGCGCCGACGCTTCCGTTACTCTCTGCGGCCCAGGAAACTGACGAACGAGGAGAGGCGTCAGAGTGTTAGCTCGAATAAATCACGCCCTGCCTCTTTATTGCTTTCGATATTTCGCCAAGGCTTGTTTTACATTAGCGAGAATAGCGCACACAAACCGATTAGTGACACATGAGTGTTTCTTGCAAGCATCGCAAAATTATTGGGTATAATCGAGTTGGGGTTAAGTAAAAGCGTTAGGTAACAAGTCCGTGTTAGGATATTAGTTCGAAAGCTGACAGAGCGCGTGTTTCGAGCAGCGATTGACTACCTGAGCAACATTTTGCTTCGAATCCCCACGTCTCTCTTCGTATGTTCTTGTCGATTCCTCTTGGAAAATTTCATTTGCCAAGAGATGTAGGTGCGAAGATTGAAAAATAATCGAATGAAGAATGATTGTACCTCAAACTACTTGATTTCGTGAATAAATTTATGTGTTACATCAGTTTTCATTCGATTAAATATAATTTTAAATACCAAAACAAATTTTTATTATTTTTTTTACAAAATAAAAAATATTTCATTATTATGTGCTTTATAAATATCCATTATTTATTAAAATGTGGAGAAATTATAAAGAAAATTGCTGAAAAGATTAAGATATATAAATACATAATTTGAAAAAAAAAATTAATGAAATCCGTAAAAAAGAATAAAGAAAAAAAACTGTTGCTCGTGTTTGAGCGTGCATCGATATGCTTTGATATTAATCCTTTACGATCGACAATGTTCAGAAATGCGACAGTATTAAATATTCCATTTTATTTTGTTTTACCCAAACGTAGTATTTTTTTCATGAAATACAATAAATCATAATTAAATATATAATCTATATATCATTTTCAGTGCATATAATGAAAAACGAAGATATCCCATGAAGTAACGTATTGCCGTAAGACAATTCATGTAAAAATCATTTCGATCTCGTTTTGGGAAAGTGATATTTTTTCGCAGTATATCTAGGAAGAGATCTCTACTGCGTAATACACGCGATCGCAAAGGATTAATTCGCGTGCGTTAATCACCTCTGCCGTGGTAGGACGCTCGGTGCGACAAGCAGGAAGCGCAGACACGCCATTGTCGCGAGTCTACGTCGGCGAGGAAGCCGGCGACGGCGATGGCCTGGTTCTGTGCCATTTTCAGGCCGTTGGCGATGGTGCGCGTGCCGTGGCCCGACGTAGCAGTACCGGTCGCGGACGCGGACCCCGTCGTCGTCGTCGTCGTCGTCGTCGTCGTGGCGCCGGCGACGACGGCGGCGGTGGTTGCGTCTCGCGACCGGAAGCTCGCCGGAGCCGATTTGCCGCCGGCAGTCGCGGCATCACGACGGACCCTGGACCGGCGCTTCGTCGACCGGCTACCCAGCATGGTAACGTGGGGTTTTCCTGTCGTGCCTCGCACGACGCCGCCCTCCGAATGCGGGTTCCACCTGCCGGAATCGCTCGATCCGCTTCCCGTTGACGTGTCCTCGTCGTCGCAATCGTCTATGGCTGCGTGCGAGCGGACACGGAGACGATTTATCAATGAGACAAGCCCACATTTCTTTCGTCCGTAAATCAATCTTATTAACGCGACAAAATCTTTTTGAACGCGATGTTGAAAAGAAAAAAAAAAAAAAAGAGAAAAAAAGAGATTATAAAACGAGAGAAGTTTTAACAGCAAATTTCTTAAAATTTGTTTATAAAATTACGTGACTGAAATTTGAAGATTGAATTAGTATCCAGTATCAAAAAAATTGCGAGAAATAATTATTCTCTTTCTTTTTTTTTTACCGAATCGTATTATAGTTTTTATAATATATATGTTCTTTCCTTGAGAGGCATAATGTTCGCGTAACTAAACCGGCATTCCCGTACCGTGATTACTCCAGACTGCGCAATCGACGCAGCAGCCCCGCGACGCATAAGTATAGTAACAGTTTGTCCCATTTGACGAGGAAGCGGGGCTTGAGCTCGTGGCGGTGGTCGAGGTGTTTGCGCTCGTGGTGCACGACGCGGTGATAGTCGTCGTCGCGACACTCGATCCACTTGCCGTGCCTTCCGCTGCGGTTGCTGAAGCTGCTGCTGCCACCGCTGCCGCTGCAGCGGCGGAGGCATGCGTGATGCCGATGCTCGGGGTGCCGATGGACGAGGGTGGTGCGTTCCGTCGTGGCGGAGGTGTGGGTGGCGTCAACTGGTGCTCGATTCCATCCTGAAGACTGCACGAGCGTGCAATACGCACACGCGGATAGGGGGCGAAAAGGGAGAAAAGACAAGCGTAAGGTCGCTCTTGTTAGTACGTTAGTGCATGTACGCGTAACAAATCAATGTACGTACTTCCGAATGTCTCGAGATAATCTGAACCAAAAAATCTGAAATGAAGTCTGTCTCTTAGAGAACAACCGTTATTCATGTCAGAATAAATGCTATAAATTATGCTTATTTTAATATATATATTTAATATTTTTTTATGTCCCTTTTCTGCGAAAATCTCATATTTCTCATTGCAACGAAATATATATGTATTAATTAATTTATCACAAAATTATTTTAAATTCTTTTTATTAAAAGCTTTAAATATTAAAATTAAAAATAAAATGATCTTTTTTTAAAGAAATTTTTGAATAATTAAATTCATCAGGAGAATCAAAATAAGTAAGATAGATGAGATCTAAGATGAAATAAAAAAAAAAAAAAAACAGAGAAATGTATTAGAGAACAACCGTTATTCATCATTTATTTTTATGTTGGGATATTATCTTCTTTCTCTTTGACATGTCCAATTAGTTTTCATCAGATAATTTTATGCAAAATTTACAGAAATTACCCATCTCAGATCTCATCTATCTTACTTATTTTGATTCTTCTGATGGCATTAATTCAAAAATTTAAAAAAAAAGAACGGTTTTATTATTTTTGATTCTAATATGTACTTAAAGCTTTTAAAAACGAATTTAAAATAATTTTGTGATAAATTAAATTTCCTTGTAATTTAAGCCTTAAGATTTTTATCGAGGCATTTGGAGATACTCTACAAGCATTATTATCAAGTATAGCATAATAATTAATAATAATTAATAGTAGATGCAACATGCGATCTGTTGGATGTAAGTGTCACATTTTGCGAAATTCAAACGTATTCCGTTTGCATCTCGAAATGCGTGTGCGTCCCGTGTGTTTAATTCGTAACTCGGCTCTCGTTTAATTAATCTTCACGCGAATACCGCATTCCCGGTCTCTTGTGAAAATGTTGAGTGAGATCCTGGAGGGGGATACTTAATTTATAAGAAAACACATGCAAAACAAGCAATGCTGATGAACAAAAAAAAAGAGAAGCCAATTACGGATCGCAGAGCCCTAACTTGTCTTACCATATTCGTTATTGGGATGAAGATAGTTACGGCTACCCGATCCACTGAAACGTACGATAGTAAACAGAAGAGCGAAATGAGAGATGATACGAATCACGCTCGCGCGGTGCGAAAAAGTCTGTTAGAACGACTAAACAAACATCTTCCCGCGAATGGGAAAATTCAACTGATTTGCAACTAAAAAATCCGAGACTCCATATCATCGATAAACACGTTATCGTTCCTTTATTATTGCTTTATACTCATTATCGCACGTTTATAACAATTTACAAAAGAAGGAAGTAATTAAAACTTGATGCATCTATAGCGTTTTTTTTTTTCCCTTAAATTTATAAAGGTAATTTACTTCGCGATACATTGAGCCATTTAAAAAATAAAAAAAAAAATTAAATTGATGAGTATTCTACACATGCATTATGACGTGATACCGAGAGAGAATGATGTTGTCGTAGGGAAATTAAAATTATCGATTATAGTCAAACGAGAGACATAATAGACTAACAAAAATAGAGTACTGGTTACGACTTATCGCTCGCACGCGTTCTGTACTTACTCGACCACCTTATATGCGCTTTGATAAGGCGTCTGTTGTATCGGATTGCCGAAAGCAGCAAGGGGTCTCAAAGGTATACTCTCTTCGACGCCCATCAATCGCATATTCGTTCCCATCTGATTCATCGCACCGTCACTCAAACCCCTAATTTATATAATTATATAAATTAATTTAATTATTCCTTGATATTATTAAATTAGATTTTATTATTTGCGATAAAATAAAGTCAAAATTTATTTTATATTTTAAATATATATATATGGTTATTTTGAACATTTGGAGAGAGAAAGAGAGAAAAATTTCAAATGAAGAATTATAAAAATGATAGAATTGATGCACAATAAATAAAAACGTATATGTAATACAAACTAAAAATGTAAAGAAATATTACCAGAAAAATTAATTCTACATTTTTCTATCAAGAAAAAATTTAGAAAGTTTGTTTAAAAATACGGGAAATACTCACCCTGCTACATTTGGCACAACTTGACGAGTAAATTTCTTGGCGGCATCCGGGATAACGGTCCTCCGTAACGAAGCGTATGGTAAAAAGTCTATAGAATTGGTCGGGGAAGCCTATAAACAAACAGTTTTTGATTAGAAATTTTGATTAGTCAGTAAGATTATATTAGAATTAGATTTCTGCGATTAGAAAGAGATTACTTACCTTTGCAACAGTAGAGTTAACCTTTAGCGATCTTGCCCTGTGGAAGCTATGATGTCCTTTTCGCATGCTGGACCATACGCTGCCAAAGAGTGAGTGGTTTCTCTGAAAAAGTATTCTCTAGTTCAATTTACATGTTAGAAGAAAATTTTTTACATAGATTAATGATTGAATATAATTGCTAATTAATATACATCCTAGTTTATAGAAACTATTATTATTTAATTAGTACTCGAAGAGTAAGCTTACCCTGTGCATAGGTTCTGGATTGTCATCGAGAAGTTCCTCTAAATTACCGGAAATTGCACGTTTTAATTCGGGACCAGCTTCGTGTAACGTTCTCAACCCGGCCTTTCAAATTAAATTAAAATTACGTTTAACATATAATATCTTAGTATATTATACAGATATTCTAGTTACTCCGATCTCTTCAAGGACTCACTTGAAGGGTCACGGTGTTGAGACAGTCTCTGTCTCCATCTTTCATTTCTTGTTCTTTGCGTTTCTTGAATCGGCGGAAATAGTCCTGGATGAGGAAGGTCGCGTAAAACTTGCCGACCGTCACTTCATCGTCCACTGGAAGAATCGAGTCAAAGCGTATATTCAGTTTCGCGAAAAAAAAATAAAATAAATTTAACGGTGACAAACGCTTCCTTCACTTACCTCCGGGCGGCGGAACAACCTGATCTAAAAGCTTCGGACTCGTTCTCTTCCAGATCTTTTTGATCACCGCCCTGAGCTCGGAATTCGCGTCGTCGATGTTACCCTCCGTCTTGATCCTCAACGAGGTTCTTACAACGGCGAACAGCGTCGCGTTAAACAACACGGTGCCGTCGCTGTTCAACGGCATATTCATCGAGACGAGTCTCTGAATTTTACAATTTCGAGATTAGAGATATAATCGTAATATTAACTTTATTTTTAACTCAACAGTTTTCTCATTTTACTCGCGCGATTTCATTAGACTCGAACTTGAGCGATAGAAATAATGTTACATCAGATACTGTACAGAGAAAATTAATTAATATGAAAATAGGAATAATAATATTTTTTTATATAGCGTAATATAAGGTAAAAATATATTTATTTTTTTTTGTATAAAAAAAGTAATATTATTTTTTAAATCGGTACTATGACGCTATTGTAGACCCTCCTATTATATATAGATATAGATCCATAATTATAAACTCTTCATTAAACTTAGCTGCTGACCTTACAAGCCACTCTATGGGGGCACAGCTTTCCGAAACCTAAGGGTGGCGATATTTTTCTCAGCAGCGTCACTACGTCGAGATGTTTAATACGTCCCTTGGCGTCGGGATCGTACTCGGACCACAGGCGAATAAACTCGTCCAAATGATGCGGTCCGAGGATCGACCAATCTCTCGTCAAGTAGTCAAAGTTGTCCATAATAACGGCAACGAAGAGGTTGATGATCTTTTTCGCGAAATATATAGTACAGATATTAGATTTAGTATTTAAAGAAATGAGATATTTTCTAAGATTGAAATCAAACACAATGAAATTACTAGAGACGAGCACTTACGAGAAATGAGCAGAGCACGTAGAAAGATATGAAGTAGGGAAATGCAATGTCCGATCCGCAACCCTCCGCTTTAATGGCTTCGTCACTGAGGGGATCGCACTTAACTTTGCTCGGCTGCAGCGAGCAAGCCATCATGATCTCTTGCCAGCCCTCGCCTATATTCGGAAATATTCAGAAGGATCATTATTTTTTTCAATAATAACTATACGTTTATCTTTGAGAGAGATTTATCGCATTTCTCATCGAAAGAATAGATCTGCTGATCTCAAAAATTTCTCTCCATTAAATATATATATATAATGAGTCTTGAATAGAATATACTTACCGGTTGCTGATCTAAATAAGACCAATACGGCTTGCGGAAAGGATTGAAAGTTATTATTGCGATTTATCGACGTTTCATCATCTATCTTAATTTTTCCGAAGACCTGGAAAAAAAAATGCTAGCGTGAATCGTCGTTTTTTTAAACGCTTTTAAACGCGCGTCGCATTTAATGAATCGGTTTTGTTCACCTGCATGCCTATCACAGCGTAAATAAAAAAAAGCATTATAATGAGAAGGGCGACATATGGCAGAGCTTGGAAGGACTTGATGAACGTCCATAAAAGCGTTCGGATGCCCTCTCCTCTGCTCAATAGCTTGACCAATCGCATTACGCGAAACAGCCTGAAGAAATTGATGGAAATGATGGAGGATCCAGGCTGCAAAGATCGTAAAATGGTTTACTCGCAGCTTCACTTCCGGATCCTTAAATAATATAATCGCGGATATTGCCTCGGGTGCTCCATCAAAGTCGAGTGATACTTACGTTAACTTCCGAGTAAACGATGTCGATGAAACTTCCGAGCACGATAATAAAATCAAAGACGTTCCACGCATCGCCGAAGTAATTCTACAAATTAATAAGAACGGATAACGCCGGTGAACACATATGAAAGATTCTTCAATGTAATGCGAACGTAATGTGTATAATGGAGAACAAATACGTGCATAAACGCGAGTTCGCACCTTGAATCGAAATGCAGCCAGCTTGAAAACAAATTCAAGGGCGAACACGGCGGTGAAAATCATATTGAGAACGTCCAGAGCCTTCGTGTAGATTTCCGGTTGCTGATAGAACTTCATCGCGAGCGTCACGGTGTTTATCATAATTAGGATGAATATCGTGTACTCGAACGGTTGGGAGGTGACAAACCACCAGACTTTGTACTGTATTCGATGCTTGGGTATGTATCGGCGAACTGGCTTGGCCTTTAGCGCGAACTCGATGCAATTTCTCTGCACAGAAAAACGCGACTGTTGACCCTTTCACCACACACACACACACACACACACACATCTATATATACGGAGAGTCTCGTGTGTGATCCTAAAATACATATTTTAAGAATATGAAAAAAAAAGTATTTAAAAAACCGATAAAATACAGAATAGAGTATCTGGATACGTAATTTTTTTTTATTAATAATGATGTTTAATAAATTTTAATAAAATTGTACTACATTTCATTTTCAATTATTGTAGATTTAATATATAATAATACATCTCTTTAAAGCGCTTATTTCAGAGTTAATTGGAAATTAAAATATTCTTGGGATCACATATGTATGTCTCTTGTCATAATGTAAGTGCTATTAATTTGATCATGGAAACGTTAACAATTGAACTATTAATTGAATTGAATTTGATATACTCACTCGCGATATACTCACCTGATTTTTATCGAGCTCGCAATTTTTGTACTCTTGCTCGCCCTCGTTTTGAAAGGTGACAATAACGAAACCGACGAAGATGTTCACCATAAAGAATGCGATGATGATGATGTAGATGATGTAATAGGCGGCCACTATCGGCCGAAAGTTATGAATTGGTCCATAATCCTCTTTGTTGGAATCGATCGACCATTCTAACAATCTGTCAGCAGGCAGGGAACAATATTAGGTAATATTTCGCACCATTAGAGCTATCTACCCTTATTTATTCTCTCGCAATATTGTTATACTAAAACTACATTTATCGAAATAATCAGACGATAAGAAACGAATTCTCTTAAAAAATAATGTATTGTCTCGACATTAAGAAGATTGTCGTGAGAGCGAAGGAAACTTCGCTCAAGTAATCTTCTCTATTTAATTCGCGATAGAAGCCGCTCGAAAAAAATGCTTCTCGAAACGCGAATGTACTTACGATGGCCAACCTTCGAAAGTCGATACCGTGAAGAGAGTTAGCATCGCTTTGGCTACATTGTCAAAGTGAAAACGCTGCTGAAGCCACTCTCTCTGTTTCACGACCGGTCTGTTCATATTACCGTCATCGAATTCCAAATAAGTACCCCTAGAAAAGAGAGTATCTTGCACAGTTTTTCTGAAAGTGGGCTCTATTTGAATTTCTCAATTATACGTGAATTCATGTTAAAAATCTCGTTACAATTTTTCTCTTTATTACGTTTAATATATTACGTAAATTTTGTCATCAGCAGAACACTTTACTATGATATATACAAGATCATCGATGATTCTTTTAAAAAAGATATTTGTGTATCCACGTGTCTTGATATTTGCATTTAAGCAGAATTATATATGTTTATTTAATCGATTTATTAATTTATAATGTAATGAGAACTTACTGGCAGTCGTTCAACGTCATTTTCGATGCATCGGTGCAAAAGAAAAATTTGCCCTATATAACACAAGAAGTTCATCAATTTCGATCGCCGTTAATACGGGACTAAATTTTACGTGTTCGTTAATATGGGACTAAATTTTACGCAACATGTTAAAGCTGCGGGTGACACGCTGGCGTTTCTGAAATTCAATTCAACGTCATTCATCGAGCTAAGTAATTATTTTCTGTACAAATATAGCGCTCATATATGTATATATACGTGAGTAATTATCTTATTAAATAATCGATTCAACGCGTTTATATTTGCGACGTAATGTACTTAATTACGATGCGCTTCAGTCTTTAATTATTGTTGCGTAAATAAGAAGATACACTTTACTACAAGTCTCCAGATATTCTTAGACTTGTCACGTAAAATTGAACACAAAGACCGCCAGCGCGTCGAATTATAGACAACAGCTGTGAATCGGCCATTCTCATTTTGCAAGAGCATTGTCAGCGGCAGCAATAGCGAGACGTGATCGAGCAAAGTATAAGAGAGTGTTAGAATGTGAGGTGAAAACGTGATAGGAAAAAAAAAAAGAAGGAACATTCTTCGTCAGCACGTGCATACATATGTACAACAAGGTATGATGCGTGCGGTTTTCCGACGGTTCCGCGGCTATATCCGTGTACAAAGTAAGCGTAATTCTGTCCCACGCTTGGCTTGGAGTGCATAAGCACGCTGAGGGGGAGAGGTGTTGTCGGTGAGAAAAAACGAGGTTCTTCGCCCTCCCCTCGCTTTGGAACCTGCGTCACGCCCATGTGGACAGAGCGACACGGTGCAATAATCGCGAGGGACATCACCCTCTCAAGTCTTCCGAATTACTGCACTCGCGAAAATTGATTTAATTCCCTTCGCCGCCTGTAAGTTTTATTCGATCTCAAAATTCCTTCGCTGTATCAAAATTTTTGCACGTTATCCACAGTTTTAAGCTGGATTTTAGCGCTAAAGATATGACATTTATTTCTCAAATTTGCCTTTCGTTTTAAAAAGATGATATTTTTCTCAACGTATATATTACAGACCCCTCTTAATGTTGAACGTAATTGATATGGAAATAATATAATTACAAATTAATTAATATTACATAATGCAATATCGATACAGATTTGCGATAATGCAGTAGTGTATGAAGACTAATTTATATAAAACACAGTTGTAATTACATTATGAGCGTATGGTTTTAGCCATAAGATAATAGCATAGTTAATTATGGAAATTTTAGCATCAAACCCTCAAATAAACTTGTATAATAGTACAATTTATTTACACGCGTTGTTCATTTAAAGAGATAGTACGACTCTTCGTGAGAAGGGAAGTTTGGAAAAGGGCGGCGAAGGTGTTTCTTCAAGGGCGCAATTATCGCACCTGAACAATCGAGAGGGTTGCAATTTGTAAAAACACTCCGTGATATAATAAAATGTTATCAACAAGATCATCGTGTCTACATGATCGCTCCACATTATCTGTCGACATGGCGCGCCCGCGTAGGCGAGACTCGGACACGACATGGGGAAAAAGCACGAATAATGGGCCATCGTGTGTGTGACGCGCCAAATTGTACTAATTGCCACCTACGTAACACGAGCTGGTGCGGGCTAAAATAACGAACAGATTGAAACAACAACGGAGGACCCACCCATACCCGCTGACAGCAGCGCGTAGCTGACGATTTTGTGATCGTCTCCCTACCTCCCTACCTCCCTCCCACCCTTCCTGCCTTCCTCTTTTCCACCCATCCTCTCCTCTTCCATTTTTTTGTAATCCATAATTGCTTGCAAGTAAAAAAGCACAGGCGTTGCACGTATCGCGGCTCGTGCAGAAGCAGCACTATCTCGTCGCGATGTATATATATATATTTTTTCTTTTTTTTTTTGTTCTTTTTTTATATCATATCTATTAATTCAGATATTGTCTTTCGCGTTGATGAAAGAAAAATTTTTTTCATATACATATTGAGGGAAAATAATATCTGTACGTGGAAACGAACGATCCTGCGGGGCTTGCAGGGTTATTCTGGGATGAACGGCCATAATCATTGGGACCGATGGCCGCAAACGTCGGGATACACGGTCATAATGAAAGACATTAAAGTATTCATGGAACATTGCCAAGTGTGTTGAGAATATGTCGACGATTCTAATTAACCGCAGCATTACCCCTCTCTCTCGTTAATGGTTATTAGAGAAACCTTAATGGTGGGCAGTCCCCCTTTATGACCCTCTATCCCGACTTTACTTCGTTATTGGTATATTAAAAAGCGTTTTATCTCCCTCGTTGAATATTTCACTACATTCTGATAATTTGTTACGCGTAGTTTCAACAAGATGGCAAAATTTGATCTTCTACAATTATTACGAATATATGCTAATTAATTTTGATACGAGAGACACATTAAATATACCATCGACAATCTAATACTCAATCAATTTTATATCAAATTTATCATTTTCCTAAAAAGAAATCACGTTCCACTTAACTATTTTATCGGACTGTAAAGATATTACATTTTTGTTCCGCTTAATTCGTCAAACGACGTCATCAGATCGATTACATATATATTTTTCCCGCACTTATTTTACCAAACGGCTTCGTCAGATCGATAGGACTTTAATTGATATTTAAACACGATTCTTACATAATTCTGCCTTTTCATAGAACGGCACATACTCTGCCAAAATAATATTCTCGTAAATAAAATAATCCACGTGGATTAAACAACAACATTTATAAATATAATTATTTGCACATATTCGCGATCAAGATAGATAGAAAAATCCCGCGATTTGTAAATTCGATTATATATTACCGCAATAACCCCCGGCTCGCCTCATATCGAAACGCAACAAACGTTTACGCATTTATAACATTCGGGAAAAAAAAAAGGAAAACAAGAATATATCCAGATTCCATGCAACGCGTCGGACTAACCGTAACCACGAGGTATCTGACGTTTCTATTAAATGTCGTCTTACCGTTAACGGTTACATCGTCGTGTGATGCAAGCCGACTCATTCGTAAGCCACATTAATAAGCATTATGTGGGAAAAACGGAGAAACGATGTATTTCGCTTGTATCGTCTCGTCACGTCGGAGGCTCGGAATTTCAATAGAATGCAATTTTGCGAAGCGCGCAGCGATATTGATTTTAAAACGTCGCGATGCGGGGGAGTTGGTTATACATTGTCTACACACCGCATTCCACTTCCGGCGTGTGTATGAATGCGAAGTCGAAGTCGGTGAAGAATCTCACACGCCGCGTGTAATGTACACGTACGTAAAGTAACTGTTGGAACTTCTGTCGCAGCTTTAACATAGGGGAAACTATCTCTAATAGCACATCACGGGTCCCGACCGGACCGCGTGCGAATAACTTCAACGCTATTTCATACTTTGCGGCTGTGAAACATAACGCTGTCTTACAGACATCTGCGTCATCTTTCTCTACGGCTGTTCGAACAATCTATCTCTTTCATCTAAACCCTAAATTCAAGTGTACAGTCTCTTCTACAGTTTTCTGGGATCTTGTGAGTCGTGGAGAACTGGTGTCTAGTCGTGGCAAAACGAAACGGTTGAGTTAATATAAAAAAAAGAAAAAAATAATAACCGTGCGTTTCAATCGCAGCCTTTAAAAGAGATAGAAATTATCATCGCGTATATCGACACAATTTTGACGAAGATAATTCATAAATATTTATTAAAAAAGCTAATATTTTTTTATTAATATCGTAGTAAGCTTTAAATAAATTAATATTTATATAAAAATAATCGTTAATATATAAATCCGTGAATTTTTGTTAATTTGTTTAATCTTTATTAATTTCCTTACTAATATCTAACTTTTATTTCTTTATTACGATTTATCTTAATGTACCTTAATTTATAATATATACCAGGTGTTATACATATATATATAAAGAATTTGCTTCGTTCTGCCACGTAATCACGTGTAACTCGTGGTTTCGGTGCACGTGGACGGCCAGCATGCACTACGATTAAAGCTTCATTCTCACATACAGCGAAACTGGCATGCCTGGTTAAAGGGTGTCTATCTTTAAAGGGAGATGCGATATGGCTATACGATATGCGTATCGTTGGTTGTGTGAGAGAGACGAGAATAAATATATATATATATGTTATATACAAAAATATAGATATATGTATATTTAATATATATATATATATATATATATACAATACATAATTTGCACGTCGACGAATAATTACACGACAATTGCCTGGTTTTTCTTGGTCAAAAGCGTTATACTGGTTAATAACAGCGTTACCGTGCTCGAGGATGTTGCCATAAAAGAGGGAGATGTACAAAGAAAGAGATACCGGCAGCAACGAGAGATATATGCATCTGCGGGGTAATCCGTCTTCATTTCGGTCTATCGTGTCAGAATCGCGTGTGATAATTAATAACCAATGGCGCAATGATATATCGCTCAGATAATCGAATAATATCCGGTAATTTCGCAATAAAAGGAATCTTACATGGAAAAAGTTGCTTTCGTCGGAACGTATGATAGTTCGCCATGTTACGGCGTTATTGCGTTAGAAGCTTCGCAACATATTCACTTCGACGTCGTAAAACGCTGCATCTTGCTGCTGATACGTTCCCTTGTACGGTTCAGGATGAAAAATAAAAATAACAAAGTAGAGAAAAAGAGAGAAAGAACTTGAAACACACACTTAGGCAAACTAGCTTTATGAATATCTTGGAAATGTTTGCATATTTTTTCTGTGATCGATAATTATTTTTAATTATGAGAAAAGTAAAGGGAAAGAAGTCTGCAAAATTGTTTGCCTAAATGCGAAAGATGGGAAAGATGGGAAGAAAATAATGGGAAAAAAGCAATTTTGCGAAATACGGAGTAATTGTATATACAGAGGTCTAATTTTCTATTGTTATTTAATCATATTATTATTATTTAATAGAGTTCTTTTCTCCCCTCCTTCTCTAATTTTATCGAGTAATGTTATATATTTTTATTTTGATTCATAAAAT